TTTAAGCTGGAAATATAACACATTTTTCTTTGAAAACGAGAAAACATATGATTCAAAAACATTGTGTCATATTTAAGTGGAAAAAAGTATATTATTGAGATACAGTATGCACATTTTGATGTACAAATAGTTTTGTTAAAAATCAAGAAATAAAAACATCACTATACCTTTTTTTAACTTCGAAAATTTCACATCCGTCATTCATATCCGTTATTTATAGAAACATTTATTCATTTCAATTATCAGGACGTTTTGTTCAACAATGAATTTGTGATTTGTTAGATAATCTAAGAACTACTGGATATTTGTGAGTTATTTAAGTGTGATTTGATCAAATATTGTTGTTCTTTTTCTGTAAACAAGTTGTATTTGTTTCTTAAATTTTGACTTTTTATTATAGTTAACCGAATACTGTGGATAAGATTTTTTCCGGATCATGGCTAGTTTTTGGTAGTCCTGTAAAATTTACAACTACTATTCTAAAAAGGAGAACCAATGAGATTGAGTTGGAAAAATGCATTGTGTGTCAATGTTCGTCACAAGAGCGATTGATATGCGTGCGAGCGATCGGGAAAACATATGATTAAGGCATGGCTGTTCGCAGAGTTGAATGAAGAAATGAGATTAAAACTGAATTCACTGCTCTCGAAAAAAAAAATCTCATGATGAAACTGGTCCAAATGCCTTACGACGAGATGAAGAGCATGTCAAACTTATTATAGAACATGCTCACCAGCAGCTGATAAATCCTTTTAATGAAAAGTCTCATCTCAAGTCACTGATCAACATCTCAACTGGAATGCACGCGCCTAAAGGAATTGGATCCTCAATGACAAAAGCATTTGATGATGGTATAAAACTTGTCAAATCGTTTGTCAATGATGCTTTGGAAGAAGGTGACAACTGTGAATTCTATGGCCCAATACCTAGATCAGAAATCAAAACCTTCGAAGACTTGACAAAAAAGTCTGAAATCAAGGGCAGGTCAGGAGAGATACTTGATGTATATATTATTCCAGATATGAGTAATCCGTCGTGCCCTAGTTACTGCTGGGTGTGGTGAAGACATTACAATAGAGAAGATTCTATCACTCGCATATGGATCTATTCCTACCTCTCTTTTCCACGAGGACGGGACCATTTCAAAACATGTAAGGCCTATTTTTGTCATAAAATAGAAACAGAACCTGCATCTCAGAATCAGTTGGCACCGTATGATTGATCCGCTATCGTACTTATAAGGAACGAAATGGCCTTAGTACAATTGCTAAATGTTAAGACATTTAACACCGTGGGATACTTGGCTCTACTATTCATTTAAAATCAGATATCATGCATTACCAATGCTGCTAAAGTTGTTGCTGTCTTTGATAGATACGACAGACTCTGGTGAATGTAACATAAGGATTTGGTACACCATATATTTAATACAGGTCCCTTGTGAATGTAACGTTGGAGGATGTAGTACACCATATACAATACAGGGCCCTTGTGAATGTAACGTTGGAGGATGTAGTACACCATATATAATACAGGTCCCTTATGAATGTGACGTTGAAGGGTGTAGTACACCATATATAATACAGGTCTCTTGTGAATGTAACGTTGGAGGGTGTAGTACACCATATGTAACACTGGTCCCATGTGAATGTAACGTTGGAGGATGTAGTACACCATATATAACACAGGTTCCTTGTGAATGTGACGCTGAAGGGTGTAGTACACCATATATAACACTGGTCCCTTGTGAATGTGATGTTGGTGGGTGCAGTATACCATATATAGCACAGGTATCTGGTGAATGGAACGTTGGTGTAGTACATCATTTATAACAGGTCCTTTGTAAATGTAGCATTGGAGGGTAGAGTGCACCGTATATAACACTGGTCCCTTGTGAATGTAACATGGGAGGGTGTAGTGCACCATATAATACTGGTCCCTTATGAATGTAACATGGGAGGGTGTAGTGCATCTTATATAACACATGTCTCTGGTGAATGTAACATAAGGGTTCGTTACACCATATATATAATACAGGTCCCTTGTGAATGTAACGTTTGCGGGTATAGTACACCATATACAACACAGTTCTCTAGATCTGGTGAATGCAACGTTGGTGTAGTACATCATTTATAACAGGTCCTTTGTGAATGTAGCATTGGAGGGTAAAGTGCACCTTATATAACACATGTCTCTGTTGAATGTGGCATAAGGGTTTGGTACACAATATATAACACTGGTCCCTTGTGAATGTGATGTTGGGGGTGTAGTACACCATATATAACGCTGGTCTCTTGTGAATGAACCGTTGGAGGGTGTAATACACCATATATAACACTGGTCCCTTGTGAATGTAACATTGGAGGGGTTAGTACACCATATATAACACTGGTCTCTTGTGAATGTAACGTTGGAGGGTGTAGTACACCATATATAACACTGGTCCCTTGTGAATGTAACGTTGGAGGGTGCAGTATAATGATATACTGCACTTGATATAGAGTTGTTGTGTACCTCAAGTAGACATTGCTGCAAAAAGTTTTGATGGTAACACACAATAATATTCACTATGTGATGTTTATCTCGATTGAAATTATATGTACTTGAGGTGCAGATAATGTGTACCTAGGGCTCAAAAACCCTGTCAAAAGTTTTGATGGTTATACACAGCTATATTCATCAGAGTTGGGTGTATATAAGTTGCATCGGTCTCTACTTGAGGAACAGTTGAGGAACGTCAAGTATACAAAGCCTGTTGAAAGTTAAGATTGGAATACAGATCAATATTCAGTAGAATCGGGTGCATGTTTGTTGAATTGGTTTGCACTAGAGGTACAGTTGATGGGTATCTCAGGTAAACAAAACTTGTCGAGAGTTTTGATGGTTATACACATCATTATTCATGATTGTGTGTATCTGTACTTGATGAACATTTGATGTATGCATCATTAGACAAAGCTTGTCGAAAGTTTGGATTGGAATTCAAATCAATACTCTTCAGAGTTCGGTGTATGTAGTTTTGCATTGGTCTGCACTTGAGATGCAGTTGATTTTCACCTAGAGTAGACAAAGCCTGTCGAAAGTACGATGGTAATTCACATCAATATTCATCAAAGTGAGGTTTATGTAGATTGAATTGGTATGTATTTGAGGTGCAGTTCATTTGTTACTCAGGTAGACAAACCCTGTAAAAAGTTTTGGGTGTATGTAAATTATATCGTTCTGTACTTAGGGTACAGTTGATGTGTACATCGAGTCGACTAAAAAAAATTTGGTTGTAATACTTATTAATGTTCTTTGTGGTTTTGTTCATGTTAACGTTGTATGTCCGTACATGATGGTTAGTTGATTTGTACGTCCAGTAGAAAAAGCTGTCGAAAGTTTTGATGGTTATACACATAAATGTGTTGTGTATGTAGATTGAAATGATCTATACTTCAGATGCAGTTGATTTGTACATCAGGTAGACAAACCTTTTTGAAAGATTGGATGAGAATACACATTAATATTCTTCAGAGTTGGGTATCTGTAATTTGCATTGGTCTGAATTTGAGGTGCAGTTGGCGTGTACCTCAAGTAGACAAATCTTGTCGAAGTATGATGGTAATTACACATCAATATTCACCAGAGGGAGGTTTATGGAGATTGAATTGGTATGAACTTGAGGTGCAGTTGATTTGAACCTTAGGTTGACAAACCCTGTCAAAATGTTTGATGTTAATTCACATCAATATTCTTCAAATCTGGGTGTATGTATATTGCAATGGTCTGTACCTTAGGTTTTGTTGATGTGTACCTCAAGTTGACACAGCTATCGACAGTTTTGATGGTAATACACATAAATATTCATCAACGTGAGGTGTATGTACAATGGATTTGTCTATACTTGATATACAGATGATGAGTACTTTATGGAGACAAAGCTTGTCGAAAGTTTTGATTGTAAACCACATCTTCAGAAAAAAAATCTATGTGTATGTGAATTTTCATACAGAATGAGTTTATTAAAAGCTTCAGTGGCTAAGAAAAGATGAGTACTACAGTACTCCTGTCCATGTTTAATCTAATTTAAATGGTTTATCAAATTCACTTTTTATTAAAAGAAACAATAGAAAATCACCTGCTAACAATATATCAAAGAACAAGTATTTTGCTAGTGAATCACAAGTATTCTTTTGATATTACTTCACTTGTATTAAGGTTGTAGATTTGTTTGTCAATTTGTTTGATTTCAATTTAATAATAACCTTACACTTTGAATCTGAAAATTCAAAGTTGTGTACTTGAAATAAAAAAATCAACCAATGCTTTTCTAATTATTAAAGGTTACTACTGATGACTATAAAAGGGAGGTCAAGTTAGATATTTAATGATGTCTTTTAGTACAATTAGTAGAGAACTGTTCTATCAATTCTTTCCAAATTTTAATATTTTGTTACTGATGCTAATTTGAGGACAAGTTTGATGTTTGCAATTTTTGCTTGTGATTAAAATTATTGAAACAATGCATGCATATATACTAAACTAAATCGTATATGCACAATATTTACATTTATTACAAATTAAATCTATAACCTATAACAGACACATAATATTTCATTTATTTGTTGTTTATTGTAAGCTAATTAACTTTCCAGTATTGTACCAAAATGATGACCATGAGGTATGGATTTTTCTCATTGCTGAAGGCTGTAGTGTTGCCTATAATTGCTTTCTGGTACATCCACTTCATTTTAAATCTGGTGGATACCAGATAGTTGTCTCATTGGCAATCATACCACATCTCCTTATTTTTATATAGTCTCTGCTGTATTAGCTCGTTATAAGAAATTTTCTCCATTTTGCCAGTCAACACATTATTGCATAAACATCACTGCCATGAAATCAAATTCAACAAGGATAATAATTAAACTGAGCTTTCAGACGCTCAGTTCAGACGCTAACAATGAAATTAAATTAAATAATTTACTTCTGTGAAATATACAACAAAAAGACACATATACTGTTAAAAAATTTATTACATTTAACTTGTAATGTATCATATAGGATAACATGAGAAATTTGGAAAAAAAATAAAGAATATACATAGATTACATTAAAAAGGTGTAAACACTATTTCACCTTTTTAAAAAAAATCATTACACCCTAGCACAAAAATCCATAGTTCAAGATGTATATATATATTACTCCTTTCAAACTGTACAGAATATTTTTTCATTCATATAAAGATTATGTACACAAAAAATCAAGTATGCCATTGTGTGTTGATTGAGCAATTGAAACAATATAAATTACTGAAACAGAAAGAGATTTAATAAACTTTAGCCGAAAATATAGTTTATGGGTTTTTCTCAATGTTAATGGCTGTAAGGTTGCCTATAACTGCTTACATCCACTTCATTTGAACTTTGGAAAATAGATGTCTCATTGGCAATCATACCACACATCTCCTTATATTGATATAATTATGTTTATAAAATACTTTTGAAAAACTAAAGGCTCTAAAGAACCTTTGTCACTTGTGACCTAGATATATGTGCATCTTGAACTGTCACCACTCTCCTACAATACAGTCAGGGATATAATTCATTACTAATGTTGATCCCGTCTTGCTGATCCTTTTTGCTGTCTACAGTTTTTCTTTACTCCCGAAAGTATACCCCAATATTGCAAAACATGTGTAACAAGAATGTGTCCCAAGTACACGGATGCCCCACTCGCTCTATCATTTTCTATGTTCAGTAGACCGTGAAATTGGTGTAAAAACTAATTTGGCATTAAAATTAGGAAGATCATGTCATAGGGAACATGTATACTAAGTTTGAAGTTGATTGGACTTCAACTTCATCAAAAACTACCTTGACCAAAAACTTTAACCTGAAGCGGGACAGACGGACGAATGAACGGACGCACAGACCAGAAAAAAAAATGCCCCTCTTCTATCGTAGGTGGTGCATAAAAATCATCATGGGCAATTACTCCCACAAAAGAGTTGACTGACAATTTCTGCTATCTTGACAAATTTGCTTATCTTGTCCTGCTCATAATTTTTGCTTTCTAAAGATTTAACCTATCTATTATAGTTTCAAGATGATGGGCAAAAATGAAAAAAAGGTAAAACAACCATTCTGTGAGTATTGCATGGCAATACATAGTCCCCTACCGGTTAAGAAATCATTGTATAGGAACAAAATTCTAACTTGATATATATATTGTGTAAATTGACAGTACGTAGATCTGATCATTCAGAACAGCCCTTGTCTGATTTTCTCTATCTAAAACACTTTCCAAGATGCATGCAATAGACAAAACTTGCATTTTACCCCTATGTTCCATTTTAAGCCATGTTGGCAGCAGGATCATCAGACACAGTTTCAACTAGATATCCAAATGATGATTGTGGCTCAGTTTGGGTTCAATTGGTACAATTGTTTCAGAGGAGAATTTTTTTGTAAAATTTAACAATGCATGCAAACTGATGAGAAAAACTTGATTCTTCTTTAGGAGAGCACAAATAGTCCTAAAATAAAAAGGTAAAATGTCAAATTGTGTATAAAATAAAATCAAACAATACTTTGATAAAATGCCTTGCTGAGCGCAGCCTGATACAACCGCAGAGGTCGAACTGTAAACAGTTGGGGCAAGTTTTGACACAGTATTCAAGCTTGATACTGTCTGAATTTGGATTGTGATCAAATTTTTGACATAATATAGGTTTCTGACACAAAATAAATGTGGTCAAAGATCTTAAAATTTTGAAATAGGACATTTAATGTACCTAGAATGGTCTGATATCCATAATCTAACAACATGCTAAAATTCAAAAAAAGAAAGAAAAAAAAAGAAGAAGAAGAAATTTCAATTACACAGTATTGTCATGATTGTGCAATACCAAAAATCTTCAATTACACAGTATTTGGGCAATAGCAAAAAATCTTCAATTGCACAGTATTGCACAATAAAACAGTATTGCGCATAAGCAAGAAATCTTCAATTGAAAAGTATTGCGCAATAGTAGGGAATCTTCAATTGCAGTGTTGCGCAATAGCAAAAAATCTTCAATTGCACAGTATTGCACAATAACACAGTATTGCATAAAAGCACAGTATTGCGTATAAGCAAGAAATCTTCAATTTTAAAGTATTGCGCAATAGCAGGAAATCTTCAATTGCAGTGTTGCGCAATAGCAAAGAAATCTTCAATATTGCACAGTATTGCATTTGGTGTATTTCTCCTGCCATATCAGTATTTTTTGCTTTTATATATTTATCAGGAATAATCAATAAAAAAAAAAAAATATTTGAAAATCCCCCCCAATTTTTTTAACCCCCATTTTAGTTATTACCCCAAAACTCAATCCCAGCTTTCCCTTTGTGATATGGTACCTTGCAGTACAATAACAGAGAGATCCATACACTTTAACACATATTATTGTCTATAAACTAGTAAAATACTTGTTTCTGGCCCCTAATTCCTGAATGTTTGGGGCAATTACCCCAAAAATTCAATCCTAGCTGTCTATATAGTATATATAGTCTTGCATTACAATTTCAGAGAGGTCTATACACTTTTACCCGAGTTATTGTCTGGAAACCAGAAAAATGCTTGTTTTTGGCCCCTTTGTGGACCCTAATTCCTAAACCTTTAGGGCAATTTTGCTTTTTGTAACTTGTTAAAACAAAAGAAATCAAGTTATGTCGATTTTTTGTAAACTTCTTAGCTAATACCCTGTTTTACACAATTATATAATCATGGCTATGGTGTACATCCATTATTCATTCTTACTAATGCCTCAATAACCATATCACGGTCTTCTTTTTTTAAGAGATCTTTTGTGTCAGAGTAGTAAATGCAACTTCTTCCACTTCCAATAAAACTTTTGTCAGTTATTTCATTCTGATGATACTGACTATAGTCAAGAACAGTTATTGTCACCTAAAATAAAAACAGATTTGCAATCACTCATTAGTTTTTCCCCCAAATTTAACAGGTTCTGCATACAAAAAATGTACAAAATAGATAGTATATTGTCTGCTTTCATTTTCTATATAATTAAAATTGCCAGGCAGGGGTAAGCAAGAAAAACTTGCAATGTTTGTTTATGATCATCCATATTCGTTTTTTTTTCAAATTGTAAAGGGCACTCTACTACTTACTTTTCAAATATTCTTATAATTTATTTTTATTAATATCAATTTGTACTTTTTATTCAAAATCCAATATTTAATGAAAATTCCTGTAGCACTTTCAGCTTTTTTTGATATTCTGGTTAAAATCATCATTACAGGGCAATAACTCCAATAAATAGCCAATAAAACCACATATATATACCAAATATCATTGACTTAACATTAGTGGTTCATCTTAAACTGATCTAATAACAAACTAATACATGTATGTAAACTAAGCAAAATTTTCAAAATCAATAGACCATGACTGAGGGGTAAGGATTCAATATTGTCCATGCAAATGAGATATGCTTATACTTATACACAACTGCATACCAATTATCATTGACCTACCACCACAAGAAGTGTCAAGAAGCAACAAGAAGGAAAAAAACTAGAGTCAAAAAGACCAAAAAAAAAGCAACAAGAAAGATTATATATACTCATAAAACAATAAATTTATAGAAAAAGTCAATTTATTACAGTTGAATATTTGCTGTTTTTTACAGTTTCAAATTTCGTTATATATTTGGTAGCACTACAAACATCTTGCAGTTAATGAAGCTTAATACCAATATTTTATTGCATTATTTCAAAATATGTATCAATCTGAACATTTTGTAACAATCCCATGTCCCATCATATACATGATATATATATTTTATATATGGACCTTTTTAGTGAAACAAATAAAGATTAGTTAATCATATAATTCGATTTGAAACTTTGATATATCAACCATGCCAAGTCTTCATATATATAATTGATTCATATATATTCTTACATTGATACCAGTGGATTATCAAATTTATCCAATCAAGATAGTTAAATTATCAATTTAAAGTCTGAGCCTCAGAAATTTATACTTTAACTATCGAGATTGGAAAAATCGAAAAATCCACAAGTAACTATGTAAGAATCTGTTTCTCCGATGATCATGATGATTAAAAAATAACTTTTCTTTATTTTGTTTGTTTAACAAAAATCCCCTTTGAGTGCCTTTCACATTCTACGAAGTTGTCAATTTTATTAACACCTGTTAGCATTCATATTTTGATTCATCCAGTTAGCTAATAAACAGCTGCGCCATGAGCACATGATACACCCATTGCGTTTTGAAGGAAATAAAGTTCAATAACTACTCAATGTCATATCAGAAATTTATAAAAATCGAAAGGGAGCCTAAGTCAATAGATATAAACAATACACCAAAGTTTCATGAGAACTGCTGAAAGCATTTTTGAGTTACTGTCCAAAAACTGGAAAATACCACCCTTCTTTAATGAATAAAACCCAATTACTTAGAAATGTAAAATTTATAAAAATTATAAGCTTAAGGGAGCTTACATCAATAAATATAAACACAATGAAACAATTCAACAAAGTTTCATGAGAACTGCTGAAAGTATTTTCGAGTTCTTGGCTGAAAACTGGAAAATCCCCCTTTTTATACGACAGCAAAAAATTTGTTGGGATCGTATAATGGCATGATGTTGTCGTCTGCGTCGTTGTCGTCGTCCGAAGACACATTTGGTGTCCAGACAATAACTTTAGTTTAAGTAAATGGATCTCTACAAAATTTAATGAGAAGGTTCAACTGATAACAAACATATGTTACTATAGATTAAGAAAAAAAGAGTAGACAACTCATGAATGTATCTGTAATAACACATGTATGTTATTTTTCTCTAATAACTTATTTAAGTTACACCCTTGACTGTCAATAGATATTTACAATTCACTAAAATATCTTGCAAATTGGTGAAAGCATTTTTGAGTTATTGTCCTAAAACTGGAAAATCCCCCTTTTTTTAATGAATAATACCCTATAACTCTGAAACGTAATATCTATAGTTTATAAAAAACGACAGGGAGCTCATGATCATGTCAATAGATATGAACCATTCCCCCAAAGTTTTATGCACATTGGTTAAAGCATTTTTGAGTAAATGTCCAACATATTGACGACGGACAGACGAACTGGCGGACAGACAAATGGACGGACAGACGAACTGACGGACAGACAAATGGACGGACAGACAAAGGTATACCATAAAACGTCCCGTAAATGGGATATAAAAAATTATGACCCATAAAATCATCCAATGATCTTTTGAGATCACTGGCAACCACATGTTGATTAAAATTTTCTATACAATGGGTTCAGGCAGGGATAAATTTCCAAAGAATTAGACTAAACTGTAAACTAAGTATATCTATTTAAACATAATCATCTTTGATAACAAAAAAAAACTATCTCTAGAACAAATGAACTAATGTTTATTTTCTTCTCTCAGTATCATAAAAAAATTTAAGAAGTAACATGTCTTCCAATTGGTCGAAAGAGTTTTGTTTATCAGCTCATAGACATAATTTTGTCATGTGACTGTTGAGTCATCAACTTTTTTTCATAATTTACTCCTGTTCAAAATGGAGTTTATAATTAAATTATAAGGAAAAACATAAAAATGTTGTGCACACTTTAAAATAATCCGCTGCATGGCTTTTTCAGTGTGACCACATTTCTAATATCATTTCTTCATAGACAGAAAAAAAATTATCACAAACTAACGAATACATGTAAACTAAGCAAAATTTTTGAAGTAAATAGACCATGACTGAGAGTGTGGGCCAAACAATCTCCGAGGAAATGAGATATGACAATGCTTATATACAACTGCATAACAAATATCATTGACCTACCACTAGTGGTTCCCTATAAATTTAACTTAATCACAAACTAATACATGTAAAGTAAGAAAAAGTTTCAAAGTCAATAGACTATGACTGAGGGGTCAGGGTCAAATTATATCTCCTTGGAAATGTGATGTGCCAATGCTAATACCAGTACATACCAAATATCATTGACTTACCAATAGTGGTTCACCATAGACCTAATCACAAACTAAAGCATTGTTGATGCAACCGTCACCCCAACCACTGCCAGAAATATCATACCTTTATTGGAAATAATGGATATCTTAATTGTTTTTAATTGGAAATTAGTTTATTTGTGACATTTGGAATACAAACTTTATGATTCAATATAGTTTATGGATTTATTAATATTCTTACAATGTAGCTTGTGATAGAATTTTGTCACATTGTCAGCAAACATTTGTTAATAAAAATGGCTGCACATCTAGCACTGACCAGGTAATGGAAATTTCTGGCACAGCCAAGACTAGTTCCAAAAGTGACAATATTTTCAGCCTAACTAATGACCACAGGCAACTTATTTTGCCAGGTTATGATAACAATAACAGTGTTTTTCAAGCAACTATTGAAAATATTAATGTAGGAGGTGAAGCTATGGGTAATGCTCCTTTCAATCAAACACCGGAAGTAGCTATACCATATATTTTCAAAATGCTAAATAAGAATCACTTATACATTCAAAATTTGATGCAAAAACAGAATTAAAAATCTAATACTATTAGCACCAAATTAAAGGTTAATTCTAGACAATCGGCAACAATGGTTGGACCAAGAAAGATAATTCATAATGAATCCAGAAAAGATAACTCTCACTTACAACTAGACAGTTTGTTTGACAACACAAACAATAATATCTCAGCACCTTCTGATTTATATTCAAATGTTTCAAGTGTTTGAATTGAAAGATGAATGTTGCTAAGTGTAGTACTATGAAATTATCTATCTAAAGTCATTAAATCTTTTTAAGTCGTGAACGTTTCCCCTCAAAATCTTTTCTTCAGTCTTTTCAAAACGATTACGAAACTTCTTGTACATTTTGTAGTTGATGCTGCAAATCATTGATAGAGGTTCAGGAAGTCACAAGGAACTCATTCTTGACTAAGAGGGAGCAATGCAGGCTTAGCATTGGAATTGTTCCAAATGATAATAAGTGAAAATATTTGTTATTCTATAATGAAATAAATATAAATAAGCAATATATATCAGACTGTATTCAATCACACCACCATGTAGACGCGAGTGGTTTTTCATGGTGGAAGTTCCTCCATAGTTAAATTTTCATCCAGGAAGATCACTGAATGCTATTGATTAAGTTCAATGCTGTCAATAGATTTTCTTATTCATTGTATAATTCTTATAAAACATTTCTTACCTGTGTTCCAATAACTATCATCCCTGGAAGAAATTTAGAATTACATGAATTATCGGATCTTTTCACATGTTTCATAAAACTCCATGTATGATGTCCATGAGCATGAACTAAAAGTTCTCCCCCATGCTGGGCAAGAACAGGTTGTTTTATTCTTTTGAAAATTTCTGGTTCTTCATAAAGAGGTTCTTCTTGTGTATCAGAACTTGATGAGCTATCATTACTAGTTTTTCTTTTTGGTCTAGTTCTCTTAGGTTGGACACATTTCTCTAACTTGTGAGATAAATTTTTTACCTGAAATAATTATTTTAATCTTTGAATACTTACATAACTTATAACTATAAACAGTATAGATAGTTCTATATCTAACTTTTGATTATGTCTTTAAGTCATTTTAAAATTAAACATAACATTGAACTTTATAATCAGGGCCAAATATGGCACTTAGGGATCATAGATTTATTCTTACGAGCAAGCTCCGAGCATGCTCGGAGGATGCTCGAAGCTTTTTAAGTAGGCTCTTCAACAGTACTGTGTAATGCTTGGAAAGAAATCTCAAGTCTCCACAAAAAGTAAAAGTCATTTAAATATTTTCTTATTATATTTAATAATCATTCCTTCTTTTATAATAAAAAAATTCTCAAATTTTATAATTAGATGATATGATTTAAAAATAGTTTATATTATATAATATGCTACATAAAAGTCATCAAGACACAAACAACAGTCAGGTGGCGATACTAAACAAGTAATTTTTTTAGTCACTTTTATAAGTATTTTTTGTTTTTAAAAATTATTTAATAACTCAATAGTTATTTTAAATGTCAAATTAAGCATAGACTAAATGTAGTTTTTAAGAATTTTTATCATTTCATTAAATAAAATTAAGTATTTATCCAATTTTAGATGAGTATAGAGAGGTTACTTTAAAAAATAAAGACAAAAATATTACTTTAATAAATTATTTTATACAACTTCATAAAACTTAGTACTTACAATTATTTAAGGAATATATGTAATTGCTTTTAATTAAGATTCAAATTTCAAATAACTTCAAGTCTTAATTAAAGGTTCCATATCTAGTTATAACTGTATCTCTAAGATTTTAAGGGGAAATGATATTTTAATAACCCCAAGAGGCCAATCTTTGACCAAGAAGTGTGTCATCAGAAAAGCAATTAGTGCTTGTTGAGGATTTCAATAGTTTTACCAGTATATTTCATGGGGAAAATAACCAGATGTCTGTGAAAATTTGTTAAAGCTAGTAAAATCTGTATGAATGGACACCTATAAAAATAATATTAACAGAAGTTACTTATTCATGATATGGAAGTAATATTTCAAACAGCCTCGTTTTCAACATAACTTGTATAGGTAATTTTGAAAATTACTTGTTTAAGTAATGCCCCCAACTAAACAATGGTAATATGTTTTTTTTAAATAGCAAACTAAGTTCTTTTATAGAAAATTATGGCTACTTTAAGAAAAGTTGTAAATCATTAGTGGAAGCCTGGTTTGAGGGGGTAATACCACCATTGTTTTCCCTCTAGTACGTCTCTCTTTACTTGGCATTTTTTTTTAATTGTGCAGATTTAGCTTTGTTTTAAATAAAGAAATACTTGGCATGAGTAAAATTATTTTCCCCCTATAAGTCTTTGTTTAATTGTCATGATTGTTATATTTCAAAAAAAATATGCAGAATTTATCTATGTTTTAAATAAAGAAATACTTGACATAAATAAATGTCCTGTACTACAGTGAAAATATAGCATAACTTTTCAGTGCATATATGAAAGTAAACATCACCAGAAGTTAACCAATCAAATTCTCTCCCCCTTTTTTCCCTGTAGAATATAGTATATTTTTATTGCTTTGAAACACCCAAGAAACATGTTTACGACTCAATAAAAAACTTTTCTGCAATGAAATGGAGGGTTAATTTCAAACAACTGTCAAATTTAATGAATATAAAAAAAGATCAACCCTTTTTGCATTAAACTGAATGTACTATGTTTTGGTAGTATGGTTATAAATCAATAACCATAGTTTGTGTTTTTGATGACTTTTATATTTCATTTCATATAGTACAAATTTAAAATATATTTATATTTCAAATGTAAAATTTGAGTGTTTTTTAGTATCATGTGTATTGAAAAAGAATGATAATTATTAAGAAAATGTTTTAAAATCATTTTCTTTCTGTGAAGACTTGATACCTAGCATTGTACAGTAATATTGAAGAATTTCTCATCTATTTTATAGTTTTGTAAAATTAACGCAAGATTTGTTTGAATAGACCAGATGTTTACACAGGTGTTAATAGAGCTTCCTCTATAATGCTCTACTTTCCTTATTATAAAAGTGCTATAGATTTGATTGACATCTTAATGAATCATGATAATTATTGTCACATAAACTGCTGAGAAGAGCCTACTTAAAAAGCTCCGAGCATCCTCCGAGCATGCTCGGAGCTTCCTTGTAAGAATAAATCTATGATCCCTTACCCAACTCACTCCTTTAAGAAAGTTTTTTGTCAACTTTATGTGCTTTCTAAAAAAATTAATGTGCATTGATTTTGAAAAAAATCATTCAGTTATATTAAACCAGAGGCTCTCAAGAGCCACAATCGCTCAGCTGTTTGCTTAAAATCTTTCCACAGTGATAATTTTGCTTTTCAATATATATTATTGAGTGTCTTTAAAATTCTATTTAAATGTTCTTTGTATCCTTCATATTTTCTTCATTTTAGTTATATAGTGGCTATGTTTCTTGACATACAAGGAAATAAAATACAAAATTTATACTAGATATTCTGAAACTCATTCAGCCTAAGTTTTGCTGAAATTGATTCTGTAGTTTTAAAGCAAACAAACTAAATGAACAAATTCAGAAAAAATGTCTTTAGAGGGAAGTAACTCCTTAAGAGGTCAATTGCCAATTTTGGTCATATAAAACTTTTTTGTAGATCTTACTTGCTGAACATTTTTGCTGTTTACAGTTTATCTTGATCATTTATAATATTCAAGATAATATCCAAATACTGCAAAATTTCCTTAAAATTACCAATTTACTGGCAGCAACCCAACAATGGGTTATCAGATTCATGCGGCCATGTTTTTAGACAAAACAGAAAATAAAACACAAACATTATTCTAGATACCCTAAGGATCATTCAGCTAAAGTTTGGTAGGAATCGGTTCAGTAGTTTAAGTGTAGAAGATGTTTGAAATAGTTTACACCAGATGGATGACTACAGACGGAGGACGCCAAGTGATGGCAAAAGCTCACAGTTCCTTTGGAAAGGTGAGCTAAAAAATAAGAGAAATGCATTAGTTTTTCAGTTTTCAGTTAAAAGTTCAACAAGCTAAAGTTTAAAATTTAACCAAAATCTGTGGCAATGGTGACAAGAGCCGACGGATTTCCTAGGATATCTCAAGAAATCTTGACTGTTTGACCCATAACCCTTAAAATAAATCCCAACCTTCTACTTATAACATTAAACATTATGGTACAATTTCAGAGTTTATTCACTGACGAGCAATTGTACGTTTAATTTGTGTCCTGTTTAAAACATTCTGTCAGTTTTATATTTTCTCAAAACTTATGTAAACTGCAGCTGGTGTCACTAGTTGGACAGTAACTAATTGCCTTTCTAGATCCCATATGATCCCCCTACAGTTTATAGTTGGGGTAGGTGTTGCTAAGTGTTTAGATTTTTATGTAATATATGTGAAATTTAGGTGCTGTAAGAAAGTTTTGCCAGTCCTTTCACCTATTTGCCAGATCTACTTTTTAATAAAAATAAAAAGTAGTTCCCATATTTAATATATACCCCAAAACCTTGAGATTTATAGGGTGGTTTAATGATGGAGACCACATTCAACTTAAATTTACAAATAATTCTGCAACATCAAGTAAATAAATGACAATGTTATACTGCACTTGCCAATAAGACAACTATCTTAAGCATCCAGAACAATTAGACCAAAACAAAGAAAGTGTCAAGCTGCATAATTTGACGTAAAAAACGGATATGTGTATTCATTCATCAACTAAAATGAATCAAAGCGCGAAAGCGCTGTAAAGGCAGTTAATTACAGGTTGTGTGTATTTTTAGTCCAGTTATATCATTATCTTGCATAGTACATTGTACTTATCAGAGGTGGCTTTCAGTATTTAAGATTTAGAGTTCTCTAATGATATTGAACAAGTTTTATGAATGTCATATTCTGAGCACTATATGAAGGCGATTGTTCTCATTTGTTTATGAACTAGTGCATTATGTCCAGTTTGTACCTTTTTTATCTATGTTTATATATAGTCAAATACTGTTAAAAATAGTTTGGCATTTTCTTTTTAGTAATAAGTAAATGTTATCAACTGTATTTTATTCGACTTTGCAAATGTGGTTTGTTACTGGTAAGTACAATGTATGGGTGATAGTTGTTTCATTGGCAATCATGACACATCTCCTTATTTATATAATGATCTATATTCAACGACCTCAGGTACAAAAAAAATGTATGTAACTAAACTATGATGGGAAAACTTTGACTTCTTTCTTTTATATAAACTTTTGATTTGGTACCATAAAACTATGTAGAATAAATGTACATTGCAACATGTCAACTCTTTCAATGACAATACTTTTTTTAGAAACTATAACTCCAAGCAAAATTATATTTCCAAGTATAAAGTAATTTATGAATGAAACAAGAGTGCACACGCTGAAATGTCTCGCCTTCTTTACTAATCATTGATATTATGTTGATAGTCCTAAATATAAAGCTTTATTACAACTGTCACATAAACTTAACATTAACCAAGTAAACTAAACATTGACCAATATAACAAGAAAATCAGGTCAAGGTCAGATGAACCATGCTAGGCAGGCATGTACAGCTAACAATTCTTCCATACAACAAATATAGTTGACCTATTGCTTATAGTTTAAGAAAAATAGACCAAAACACAAAAACTTAAAACTGAGCAATGAACCTTGAAAATGAGGTCAAAGTAAAAAAAAACCTGCGTGACTGACAAATAGATCATAAAATATTTCCATACACCAAATATAGTTGAACTATTGCATATAGTATTAGAAAAAAAGACCAAAACTCAAAAACTTAACTTTGACCACTGAACCATGAAAATGAGGTCAAGGTCAGATGACACCTGCCAGCTAGACATGTACATCTTACAATCATTCCATACACCAAATATAGTAGACCTATTGCATACAGTATAAGAAAAACAGACCAAAACTGCACTTTGGTTCGATAAACTCACTGAAT